AACTGAAAAGGGGATGAATTTGGGGGTAGGAGAGAGTTGCAAAAAAATGGAGAGAGGGGAGAAGAGAAGAAGATGGCCATGGAAAATGGCAGAGGGCCAAAAGGACTGTTAAGAATATGGATGTCCAATACAGTAGTCCCCCCTTATTCTTGGGGGATATGTTCCAAGACCCCTAGTGAATGCCTGAAACCACAGATGGTACTGAACCCTATATATACTATGTTTTGTCCTATACATACATACCTTTTCACTTAAAGGAAGCACTTTATGGATTCTCTTTGGCACATCCAAATTGCCAGCATCACTACTCTTGCACTTTGGAGCTGTTATTAAGTAAAATAAGGGCAATGAACACAAGCACTGTGATACTGCAACAGTCAATCTGATAGCTACTAAATGACTAACAGGCGGGGAGTACATAACGCATGGATACTCTGGACAAAGGGATGATTCACGTTCCAGGGCAGGATGTTGGCAGAATGGTGCAAGATTTCATTGTGCTACTCAGAACGGCACACAATTTAAAACTTATAAATTGTTTATTTCCGGAATTTTCCATTTAATGTTTTTGGAAAGCAGTTGACCGCGGGTAACAAACTATGGACGTGGCAACCTTGCATAAAGGAGGGGGGACTATTATGCGGTCTGGCAATTAAGTTCGCGAACTTGTTGCACTGATGTTGCTAACCTTTTTTTTATATCAGAGGGATTATTCATTATGAATTTGTACCAACTAGACAAACAGTTAACCAAGTTTACTATTTGGAAGTGCTGAAAAGGTTGTGTGAAAAAGTTAGACAAAAACGACCTGAACTTTTTCCAACAATTCATGGCTCTTGCATCACGACAATGCACCAGTTCACACGGCACTAACTGTGAGGGAGCTTTTAGCCAGTAAACAAATAACTGTATTGGAACACCCTCCCTACTCACCTGATCTGGCCCCCAATGACTTCTCTCCTTACCCTAAGATAAAGGAAATATTGAAAGGAGACATTTTGGTGACATTCAGGACATCAAAAGTAATACGACGACAGCTCTGATGGCCATTCCAGAAAGAATTCCAAAATTGCTTTGAAGGGTGGATTAGGCACTGGCATCGGTGCACAGGTTCCCAAGAGGAGTACTTCGAAGGTGACCGTAGTGATATTCAGCAATGAGAAATGTAGCACTTTTTCTAGGATGAGTTCACAAACTTAATTGTCTGACCACATATACTGTTTTAAGATTTGCACTAAAGGCAGTAGGGCAATGAACCCACACCTATAATTTTATGATATGCCCTCATTACCAAGAAGCAGGTGATCTGATAGAAAGGTGAGGTCACAGGGTGCTAGCTGGGGACAATACCCTGAGAGGTTAGGGCACTCACCCACGAACAGTATATGCCTTAAACCAGCAGCCAATACAATGGTGTCATTTCTCCTATAGACAGAATACACTGTCTAAGAACCAAAGAGTGGAAGTGGGAGTGACCTCCCTTTTATTACATACAATAGCCCACCTACCAAAGTTTTGCTTACCATCCCACAACCTTTGGATTGGTGAATTGGGAGGTTTGGGTGTGCAAGGGAGAAATACTTCCACCAGTAAACACACAGGCATGTGCCAGTACGTTGGGAACTCAGATTGCTCTCCACAGAGAAGGTCACTCTACTGACTGCATTGATCTTGATGACCAAGGGGAAATTGGGCTGCTGCTACATAACAGGGGCATGTGTGACTATGTCTAGATCCCAAGAAACTCCAATGCCCAATAACAATAGTCAATGAAAAACCATGGGAAACTAATAAAGATAGGTAGGAAAGATAGGTAGCTCAGTAGGAATGAATGTTTGGGTCCCTCCCACCAGTTAAAAATAAAATCATGCAGGCCAAGGAAAGGGAACACTGCAATGGCTATCATGTAAGGCCTCATGACCAGTTACTGGAGTGAAGACTATAACATCTATATGTTATGATAATGATTTACTTCTCCCCTTTTCCCTTTATGTGAAACAGCACTCATGGGAAAATAACCACTGATAGGGGTTAATATTACAGTTCAGCTCCAAGTGAGAATTTGATTGAATTGGCATATTCCCACATCATACAGAAACTGATAGGACTTTGTGTTTCCTGCTTTCATTATTTTCATCCAAATGAAATACATGAATAGATGGACTGTGCTGGTTGTTTTCCAGTTGCCTCTCCGGAGCCACTCTCCACCCTTCTCTGCCCGACTCAGCATCCTGGATAACCTCTAAGGACTAGGGCACCTGTGCTCCTTTGCTCTCCAGCTCTCAAGTGGTTCAGCCAATAGGAGGCACCAGGAGGAATTTGAAGGGTAGAAGGAAAGAGAGGTTTGAGTATTTCCTCCCCCTCACTCTCTACCAGACTAGTGGCAGCTATTTTGTTCCTCTACCTATGGCTACCACTCCTTTCCAGCAGCCTCTTTCATCACCACAGCTCTCACTGGGTTTCAGTAACACCTCATCCTGCCCTCACACCTTCAGGCCTCAAGGTGGTAACTTCCTGCCGTTGGCAGTCCCAAGAGCTTTACTATCCCTTATCCATTCTCTCAGCCTGCCAACATCTCTGTATGTGATCCTTTTATTAAACTCTCTTCTACTAAACCTATTTATTCTTTAGGGCAAGGACTGGATGTATTATTTTTGAAATATTTGTTATTAAGGTATGAATAACACTCAACAAAATGTACGGATTTTTAAGTGTACAGTTTAGCGACGTTTGACAAATGTATAGCTTTGTGACCACCACCCTCATCAAAATAGAGAACATCCCATTAGATCGGGAGTTCCTTGGTGGTGGCCCAACCCCCTTCAAAGGCAACCACTATACTGACTGTTTTCACCACAGGTTAGTTTTGCCCCTTTCTGAACTTCATGTCAATGGCATCGTATAGTGTCAACACTTTTGCATGAGGCTCTTTCACTCAGCATATTTTTGCAATTCACCCACATCATTCAGTGTATCAGTAGTTCATCTCTCTCACTGTTGAATAGGATTTTATTGTGTAAATAAGACAGTATGTTTTTCTATTCGTCTATTGATGACTTTTGGGTTGCTTCTAGTTTTTACTTATTGCAAATAAAGCTGCTAATTATTGCAAATAAAGCTGCTATGGGCACATCTTTTAGTGGACATACGTTTTCATTTCTTTTGGATGTACACTTAGGAGTGGAGTTCCATGTGATAGGGGAGGTATATGTTTATATGAAGCAGCCAAACAGTTTTCTAAAGCAGCTGTACCAATTAAACCTTCAGAGCATGCCATCTCCCAAATTAGGACAGGCCAAGACAGATCTGAAAAAACATTTATTCAGACAGATCTGAATGAACACAAACTTTAAAATGTCATTAGGATTAGGTAGTAAATCCAGTTGACTTCTAATATCATTAGTATCACAGGCACAGCTCCTGAGTGAGTCAGTCAGTAGCCCCTGCAGCTGCCTTGTGGCCCCTCCCCTCCATTCCCAGCAATAATCAGGCTTTAAACCGTCCCCTCCAAACCAGACATGCAAAATCTCACTCCTTAGGTTACCAGCTAGCTGTTAGAAGAGAAGTAGCTACGCAAATTCATTTACACTTCTGTGTGAATGAGCGTTAGGCCTCACACATTTAACATCCTAGAGTGTTTGTATTTTAAAAACAAGGTTTTATCCCACCAAGGAATGAATCGCTAGTAATAGCCTTGTAGTTGACAAGGGGAGGAGACAGCTGTTCAGTACATTTCAAAAATTATGGGAGCTGAAAAGTGACACCTGTAGTAAGTCAGATGTGGGTTCAAATCTCAGTGCTTCCCTTAAAAAGAAAGTAGAGGGGCGGCCGGGTGACTCAGTTGGTTAAAGCTCATGCTCTGAACAACAACGTGGCAGGTTTGACTCCTGCATGGGATGTTGGGCTGTGCCCCCTGGAACTATTGGGTTGTTGGAAAAGTCATGACGCATTTTTGCAACGAAAACCATAGAAAAAAGACGTCATGACTTTTCCGACAACCCAGTAGATTAAAAATGGGCAACTGGGCTTGGAGCTCAGCTGCGCCCTCCACATCTAAGATCGAAGAACAACAACTTGACTTGGAGGTGATGGGTCCTGGGAAAAACATACTGTTCCCCAATAAAGTAAAAAAAAAAAGAAGATAATCTTTCAATGTCTGTGTCCTAGTTCATTGTCATGGGGACAATCATCTGTTCCTTTTAGCACCAATCACTTGGTCAATCTTCCTTAAGTCTCTGTATTATTTAAGTGTGATCATTTTTTTAGACAGACTATAGCCTCATTCAGGGTCTTGAACAGAGCAGGCACGCTGTGGGTGCTCAATAAATATTTGTTGATCAGTGCATGAAGATATAATAGCAGGGACTGTACACTGTAGAGTGCCACCAGGGTCCCAGTAACAACAGTACTGATCTTTATCACTTTACCTATGAGGAATGCAAATCTTGTTTCCTTCACAAACGGTGCTGATGTTGGGAGACAGAACGGGGTGAGCTGGAAAAAGGAAGCAATTCATGGCGGGACCCCTGGCGCAGAATTCAGTGGGAATGGAGGTTCCCAGCCCAGGCGGAAAGGATCCCAATCTCAAGCCCTATCCAAGCCAAGCAGCCCTGATTTGGGAGGTATGATAAAGGTGACAGCCATGCCATTTGAGAAATGTTACCGCGTACCTGGAAAAACTGTGAAGGATGCGTCCCGAAGATGTCCCTATCTGAGTGACTTTCAAGCCACGATTTTAGAGGAGCCTCGCTCTTCCGTACGTTTCACTCCTTAGAGTGAGGCTGGCAAGTCTGATTCTTCTTTTTCATAAAAATGTTCCTCCTCTGTAGGGGGGGCGCCAGCTGGAAAGGCAAAAGGCAGAGCACAGGGTTAGGCATCCGTTTTGTAACGGTCCTCGCGGAGGGGCTCGGCCTATTAGACGGCGCCACCCTTTCGTCGAGGGTGCCCCAGGCCGGCGGACGTTTCCTGCAGCCGGCTCTCTGCTTATCCCTCACCCTCCGCTCCGGCGGCGCCCTGGGAGCTCGCTGTCCCGCGCAGCCTCTTTTGGCACCGAGGCCTCCAGGTGCCCCGCACGAAGGCGGAGCCGGATTACAGCCGCCTCCCCGGCGTCACCGACCAGACCCCCGGGAGCTCGGTACCCCAGCGCTGCGGCGACGGCGTCCCCAGCCTCCGGGGTTGTCCGCGCTCCTCCCTCTCGGCGTGCCGGGCGCGAAGCCTGCGACGCGCGAGCAGAGCGCAGCGCGCAAAGCCGAGTGGCGCACGCTGGGCAGTGGCCCAAGCAGCCCGGATTGCAGCCAGTGCCCTCACTCGAGCTCGCCAGCCCGTGGACGCCCGGACCATGGCTGCCCAGGGACCCAGACCCCGCGCCCGGCTCTGGGCGGCGGCGCTGCTCCTACTCGGTCTGCCGCGCCTCTTGGTGCGGGCGGATGGTGAGTGTCCGCGGAGTGCCTGGGAGGCGGCGGGGACCGGGGTGGCGCGTGGGGTCTGGGTAGAGAAAGCGAAGCTCGCTAAGGGTGCTAATTTGAACGAGCCCGGAAAACCGTAAGCCTGGGAAGGAACGAGGTGAACGGCGGTCCCGCCACCCTGCGTCCCTCTCCCGGCCCACCGAGGCTCAGCTCGCCCAAGCGCCCCACCTGGGCCCCTGAACCCTTCCTTCACGCACCGGAGCAGCCTGAGCATTGGTCCTGCAGTCTCGCCGTTAGCTTTCCCAAGATCTTCATGACAAGTCTTTAGAATGAAATTAAGTCTGCAGTGCCCTAGAACCTCCTCTGCAGAAATATAATTTTCCATGTCTATTAAATGTGCGCCTGACGGCAAGGCCAGTGATTTAAAAGACTGTTGGTATTTTGGTTTGGTCCAGGGAAGTCTGAAAGATGAGTGGGATTCAACCAGACAAAGGGGAGGGGAGAGTGTCCTGGGTAGAGGGGGATAATGATAGCACGTGCAAAGGCCCTGTGCTGTGAGTGGCAGGGAGAATGGGATAAATGATAGACGGAGTGGCTGGAGCTGGGAGTATAAAGCGAGGATGTCCTTAGACATGAGGCTAGACAAGTAAGTGTCGGGGTCAGATTATTGCAGGTTCTGAAAATCGACCCACCTTTTTTTGTTTGTTTGTTTTTTGAACCAGAATTCAGCTTCCAGTACCTCTCTTAAAATAACAGGGTCACAGCTTTATATCAGTTCAATTTAGAAAAGCTAATTCAGCTGTATTTTGATTTCGGAACAAGACCCGGTTGATTTGGCGCAGGAGGGTCTGAAAGAAAAGAAGCCAGCCGTTCTCACATTCATAAGGGGTTTCCAGTAAACTCAAGCTTGAGAAAAATTAGGTTGATGAAGGAGAAAAACCCTCAACTGATTTAGGATGCTTTGTATATTTTTAAATGTCATTGCTATTTAGCAAACAATATTGTATGAAACTAGAAGACGCCACAAAAATAAGCATGGCGGTTACGAAAAGCAAGAAAAACCTCCAGATATTAGAATTTTTGGTAATCTTTGTCCTACATGCCAGCTTGAAGAATTTTTTTGCTCCTAATTAAGAAGGAATGTGTTATTTCTCCATATCCTCAGAGAGAGGGTTAGAAAACATTTTAAACTTTGAAGGCTCCTAGTAATCACTGTCAATTTTTAAATTGAGATATAGTTCACGTAAAACTTACTATTTTTAAAAGGTACAATTCAGTGGGTTTTAGTACATTCGTTATGTTGTGCAGGCATCACCACTTCTAGTTCCTAAAAATTACTATTACCCAAAACCAAATCCTATATACCTCTTAGCAGTCAAACCACTGTTCATTCTTGCATTATGTTTTGTATTATTATTTTTTGCCTGACATTGAGTCATGAAAGTTAAGCCGATTTTAAAGAATGCAAGTAGAATACATTGGTGTTAGCATTAACTTTTGAACAATGTATACTGCTGTACCAATTTTAATTCCTTTTAAAGAAATACCTCTCCAATCCATGAGGCTTTAGAGTTTTACCCCATTATAACTGCGTAAGTGCAGTGCCAGATGGATATGGATCAATAATGTGTGCCTATCTGGCTGGACGTGCGTGGGTCATAGAAAATCGAAGGCGGAAATATCATTGGACAAGGAGAAACAGCACCGGAGCATGTTTTCTTGTTACTGCTGGTCAGAAATGCCTCCTTTCCTTCCTTCTTTCTTTCCTTCTCCCCTCTTCCCCAATGAAGAATTATAGGCACACTTGCTTTCAAGAAACTCCAGTTTGCTGAGCTCCAGCATTTATAATAGAGCCATTGAAAAATTGTAACCTATATTATGAAAGGATCCTTTTCTTTGCTAAATATATGCTTAACTACCACCACTTTCCATATTTAATTGTGTTCTACAGTGATGGAAGAAGGAATGTTAAGCTCAAGTGACATTTGCATTACAGACATTTGAAGAGAAGGTTGGCATTACTAAAAACTCCATGGACTTATTAAGTCCATGAGATCAATTCAAATGAAAAACATTTTGTTTGCATTTGTCTACTTAGATATGCACCTCGTACATAAAAGAGACCTGCCACTGTACTTTTAAAATACTTTTGAAACTGAAAAATCTTCGCATTAACTGAATGCAAATTAACTGTGTTTGGGTAATGATTACAGGAAAAGATTCATTAATTCAACAGGTAATTTATTGAATATTTTACTATATGCTACATATTGTCCTTGCTGTTGAGAGTAGAATGGTGAGGAGAAACAGATTCTTGCTATCAGGGAGCTTAAAATCCAATGGCAGAGAGAGTCATTAAGCAAAGAAATTATATGAATGAAATGTGAAATTGCAATTTTCATACATGATAAGATTAAAGGACAGAAGTACTATGAGGATATACACCAGGAGATTTTGAGTTGGTGTAGGAGAATCTGAAAGCTGAGTGAGAATTAACTGGGCAATGAGAGGAAAGAAAGAGTGAGCAGAGATAGCATGTGCTAAAAGACTGTGAGTGGTAGAGAAAACGGGACATGTGATAAGAGACAGAATGGCTGCAGCCAAGAATCCAAGGTGGAAGTAGTTCAAGATGGTGCTAGGGAAACTGGTGTGAGTACAATTATGTGTGGCCTCATAGGCCAAGTTTTGTTTTAATCCAAAAAGGGAAAGGAAGCCATTGAATTATTTCCAATAGTAGAGTGATCATATTTTCATTTTGAACAGATCGCCCTGATTGTTATGTAGGGAGAGTGGATGGGATGAGGCAAGAGTTGGTATAGAAAGACCACATAGGATGCTATTTTAGTCATCCAGGTGAGAGAGGGTAAGGCTGGAGATGTGGATGGGCGAATGGAAAGCTTCTGGACTGAAGAGAAAAATGTGAGTCATTTGTGTGTGGGTGGAATCCTAGGAAAAGGTTTTACAGTGAGAAGAGATGACCTAGAACTGAGCCTGGAGTGAGGGAAATAGATTTACGATTATTGAGTTTATGTGCATGAAATATATTGGCCTGTAATATTTTTTCTTTTTTCCATTTTTGAAATTTCTCTGTTGTAATCATCTTCAAAATCCAAATCGCTTTTAAAAGCTTGTGACTAATCTGCCATCTTGACTCTTATTGGCCTGTAATTTTCATTTCTTGTAATATTTTTGTCAGGAATTGGCATCGGGATTATGATGGTTCCTAAAATAAATTTGAAAGTTGTTTGCTTCTTCTATTCTCTGAAAAGGTTTCTGTAAGGTGAGCATTGTTTTTTTTTAGTGTTTGGTAGTGAGGTCACATGTGTTTGGAGTTTTTTTTTTAATAAGATTTTAAATGATGAGTTTAATTTCTTTAGTAGATAAAGGAATATTCAGATTTTCTTATTCACTTTGTGTCAGTTTTACTAAGTTTGGTTTTTTAAGAAACTTGTCCATTTCACTTAAATTATCAAATGTACTGGCATATATCACATAATAATCTCATATCTTTTCAGTGTCCATGGGATCTGTAGTAATGTCTCCTTTCATTCTTGATACTGGTAATTTGCATTTTCTTTCTTTTTGTCTTGATCAAGCTTAGCAAGAGGTTTATCAATTTTATCGTTCTTTAGAAAGAAGCACCTTTTGGCTTTATTTTCTCTATTGTACCTATCTGCTTTCCATTTCATTGCTTTCTGCCCTATCTTTACTATTTCTTTCTTTCTACTTCTGTAGAAGCTTTAATTTTATGTTCTTTTTTCTGTGATTTTGAGATAGAAACTTAGATTATTGACTATCAACCATTGTTCTTTTGTAATATGAGCATTTGAGGCTATAAATTTCCCTTAAATATGACTTTAGTGTCCCCACAAGTTTTGTCACTTAAGTAAAAATGTTGTATTTTAATTGTGGTGACTTCTTTGAACCAATGGTTCATTTAGAACTATATTTTGTAATTTCCATGCACAAGAGAATTTCCTAATTGTTACTCTGTTGTTGAGAGGCAATGTAACACAATGGTTAGGATCACTGACACGGAACCAAACTGCCTGGTTTTGTGTACCAGATGTGTGATCTTGGACAACCCATTAATACTTAACTTTAATTATAAAATAGGGATAATAATAATAATAACACCCACCTCACAGAGTTGTTATAAAGATTAATTTAATGAATATGTGTAAAGCAATTTGAACAACACCTGGCCGATAGTAAACACTATGTGTTTGATAAATAAAATAAGTGATTTTAGGTTGTACTGTGGTTTTAAAAACATCCTTTGTGTGATTTGGGTCTTTTGAAATTTTTTTTAGATTTGTCTTCTGGTTTAGTATTTGATCAATTTTGCAAATGTTCTGTGTGTGCCTAAAACTAATGTGTATTCTGTAGTTTGCAGTGCTGTGCATTTGTCCTAAGTCAAGTGTGATAATTTTGTTGCTTCAAGTCTTCCGTATCCTTTCTGATTTTTTTTTCTATTTTAGCAATTACTGAGGAGGATAGTAGTTAAAATTTTCATAAGCATTGTGGATTTTTTAAATTTCTCCTTGTAGTTTTGTTAATATTGCCTTTTTATAGTCTAGAGTTCTTTGTGTTTAAAATTCTTTTATATTACTCATGAAATAGCTGTCATCGTAAGAGAACTTGTTCTTCTCTAGCAGGGCCCGTTTGAATAACAGCTTCGTTGCCATATAATTCATATACCAGACAATTCACCCATTTAAAGTGTGTAACTCAAAGGCTTTCAGTATACTCAAAGAGTCACGAATCACCATACACAATTTTAGAACACTTTTATTACCCCCAAAATAAACCCTGTATCCATTAGCATTCATTTCCCATTTCTCCCCAGCCTCCCAAGCCCTAGGCAACGGCTTACCTATTTTCTGTCTTTATGAACTTGCCTGTTCTGGACATTTCATGTAAATGGAATCATAAAGTATGTGGGCTTTAGTGACTGGCTTCTTTCACATAGCATACTATTTTCAAGGTGCATCCATTTGTAGCATGTGTCAGTACTGCATTTTGTTTTATTGTCGAATAATATGCTATTGTATGGATATACCAGATTTCATTGATCTACTTATCAATTGATGGGCCTTGGGTTGATTCTGTTTGGCTATTAGAAATACAATTTTACAATTATAAATTTAATTTATTATTTATCATAAATAATGCTGCTATGAACATGCATATAGAAGTTTTTGTATAAACATGTGTTTTCAGTTCTCTTTCAGAGAACTGCATGCTTACTTCTCCAGGCAGGGCCATCAAATATAGTTATTCAGGTTGTTTACTGTACATTTCCACCAAGTCTAAGGGACAGACAGAAATATTTACTGTGGAAAAAAATTGTGCATTTTTATGATAACATTTGGTTCTGAAGCTGGGGGATTATTATGTTTATTATAGTAACTTTGAATTAGATGACAGTTAAGTGTCTTATTCTCATAAGTCAATATAGTTTGATAATTTTGCTGACCGATGGAAATGAAGCGTGTCTCATTCTATGTTTTTTCTCTCTTGCCTTTGCCTTAAACTTGACAGGGCTACCCAAAAAAGTATTGCTTCCTCCCTCCAGTAGGCTCCCTGGGACCAGAGTGCTCCCTCCTGAACCTCTCTCTTGCTTTCAGCCTCAGCTTCCACCTCTGCCTGAATTTATGTGCTTATCCCACCCATCTATCACATGTGTTTTGAGGCCTGCTATTGACCATGTATTGATGTGCTGCAGAAAGCCAGGGGGCACCAGACATGGCCGCTGCTATCTTGTCCCATTGGGGAGGAATGAAGTGAACTCCTTGTGGGAAAGGCCTGATAATGTCTTGAGACAGAGGGACAGAGAGAAGAGAAGCAATCTGTTCTGTATTTGGTCACCCCAGGACTGGAACAGGAGAAAGAAGGCAGAGCTAAGGCCCCAATCAGTGCCTTGGACAACAAGTGACCCAACCTAGGGGAACCTAAGACACTGAGCTTTGCCACGTGGTGTTTGTAAAACACCTTTTCTTTTTTCTTTTTCTTTCTTTTTTTTTTTTTTTAGCTGAGCCATCCTGTCACCTGTTGGCAGCTCAGGGGCAGCTCAGCTGGGGCCGGGAATCAAGCCGGCAAACCTGTTGCTCAGAGCTCACACTCTTGAGCGAGCTCTTAACCAACTGAGCCACTCGGCCGGCCCTGTAAAACACCTTTTTAAAAGAAATATTTGAAGGGCTTATTCGGATAAACATGCCAGAGCAGGTGGTTAATTCTTCATTATTATTTTTTAAAAGACAAGAGCAAAAAAATGAATTCAAATACCAGTGTGATTGTCATCACCTGGTCCCAAGGCTGAGTGTTATGGGGTAGTTGCTACACCTGGGTCTTCAGGCAAGTAGGAAACTACAGTTCTGACAGGCATCCACCGGAGAGTGAGTGTGCTGAGATTAAATTCCCATGGATCCAGGAGTCAGCTTGTGCTCATGCTGTACCCACACAGGGAAGCTCTTTGTGCTGGAGTCTCAAAATGGCTCTCAAGGCCTTGAACTGGAGGCTGCTCGGCTCTCCTGCAAGAGCAGAGGTGCTCACCTGGTGTCGACAGAGGAGCTGCGGAGAGTGGTCCAGGATTGTACCTTCCCGGTGTGCACCACTGGCTGGCTGGCGGACGGCTCCCTGGGGTAAGTCAGGCAAGGTAGGGGAGGCTGTCCTTCCAACTCACCCAGCTGCCCCACCAGGGTTTTTTGGGGGGCTCGTTAATGGTTTGATTGAGGTGCCAAGATAGGCAAAATGCAGCGGGCAGTGGCTTCCAGTGGACTCTTGTTTTGAATTCTCATATAAAAACATTTTTCTGGCGTTCTGTCACAGTTTATTCCCCTTTGCTTTGCTATTTTGAATTTCCTTGTTCAGTTACAAAAATAATACATGCCTGTAAAAATGTCAAACAATACAGGTATGTCTAAAGTACAAAGTGAGTTTCTCTCTTCTTCCCTACTTCAGAGGTAATGACTCTTGTTTGGTATATATTCTTTGTTTGCTTTTCTCAGTTGGACATGCACCTGCATACACATGAATAGGAAGACGGTATGGAGGTTTTGAAACACGGTCACAAATTATTTCATATCGCTCCCATAGAGAACTGGGGTCTATGTCCCCTTCCTTTGAATTGGTCACAATCTAGTATTGCCTCAACCGATAGACTTGACAGCAGAAGTGATACTATGTGACTTCTGAGGTTAGGTCGGAGAAATTCATGTCTGCATTTCTGGGGACACTCGCTTTTGAGATGCCCTGTAAGAAATCTAACTATCCTGAGATGGCTGTACTATGAGGAAGCCCAGGCTACATGGAGATGCTCTCCCCAATAGCTCCAACTGATGTCCTGGCCAATAGAACAGCATTAACTGCTAGAAACGTAAGTGAAGATGCCTCCAGGTGATTCTAGCCCTCAGCTGTTGAGTTGTCACGGGGCTATGAGTCTCCCCAGCTCAGGCCTTAGACGTTATAGAGCAGAGACAAGCCATTTCAGCTGTGCCCTGAGTTCTTGATCCGCGGAATCCTCGTGGAGAAGTAAATCTTGCAGCCAGCTGGGAGAAACCTTCCCATTAGTGCTGCTAACTGCTTCTTTAGTCGTGCTCAGAGAAAGCGGGAGCCATTCTGCTCTCTCCTTTGCACCACAGGAATGTGAAAGAGCAAAATGGGCTCCAAGAATACTTTGGTGGATAATCACCCTGAAGATGTCTGGCTGGCAGATGGCCATAGAAAATGCACACAACCGTGTTGACTCATGGCTCCAAAGGTGCCACATGTGAAGCAGCAATTGAATAAAGTGGACAACGGCAGCTACATCAAAAGCATTTCAGTGAATCTGGAACTGTGGCCCTCTCTGCCTGATATTGTCATATCCAGGTTCCTAAACAGACAAAATGTGTCCCGTGCATGCATGTTCCCATAATAGTGTCAAGTATGGATATTTTGCAAAACTCAGTTACCATTACTGCAGCAGATAACCAGGGTTTTCAGAGATTCTGAAGAACCAGCTTGGAGCCAGGCATAGGACTCCCAGGCATCAGGACTGAGTCACTGGAAAGATCTATCACTCTGGGTTTGCTATAAAGTGCTAAGACGTCTTACTGGATCTCTACATTGCTAAGATGATATGTCTTTTTAAAGCAAACATACTTGCTTTATGTATTTACTACATGCCATATTAAAAATAGGTTTTCCATTTTAATGTTATGAGAAACAAGAAGTATCTAACCATTAGTATGTCCATTTTACTGTGGGTCTTTCCATCACAGCCATCCCCCCTCCCCACCAAAAACCAGTTATTAAATACACAGTGCATCTCACAATTGGTGGCATAGTACACATATAATAGATATGATCTGTATCTCCATGAATTTATTTTGAGTATATACATAAATCCTTAGGAAGATGGAGGTCTAGAGTGCTAAATACAGAATTTGGGGCCACGTATCTCCTGGGAACCTTTGCAGATTCCATAAAGGGTGTCAGAAAAGCTGATTGGCAATTTAGATAGCCTTGCAGGACTAGGAAGAGAGAGATTTGGATTCAGGTTATGTGTAGGGGGCAGTGGGGGGGAGTCCTTTTGCTCTGGGATGGGACACTGCAAGGCTGTATCTCAGGAGTAAGAATAACTGCAAGAAAGACACAGGCCCTCAAAGGAGCTGCAGCATAGCTTCAAATTCCCTGAAGCCAGGAATTTGGGTTGATATGATACTGGAGTTCTGGTGCTCCAGATAGCTAGCAGGACTAATTTTAAAAATCATATCGAGAGGAAGATAACATTATTCTAGGCAATTGATTTCCACAAATAATTTTAGCAAATATAGGATTTGTCGCGTACTATAAAATAATCAGTCACATGAGGAGTCAAGGCAGGGCCGGCCGAGTGGCTCAGTTGGTTAAGAGCTCGCTCAAGAGTTGGAGCTCTGAGCAACAGCGGTTCGATGCCCAGCCTGAGCTGAGCAGCTGCTGAGCTGCCAACAGGTAGCAGGATAGCTCAGCTTAAAAAATAATAATAAAAAAAAAGGACTCAAGGCAACAAGAATAAAAATAGCAAATAGAAACTCTAGATCTTAGCATTGGTAGATGCAGACTGTAATTCTTTAAATTGTTCAAATATACAGGAGGCAAGAAGGAGAATTTTGGCAGAAGATGGAAAGCTATAAAAATAACCAAATGGAAACTCTAGAAATGAAAACCACAGTAACTGAAATTAAGAATTTAATGGGTGGATCTAACAATTAAAAAGAGCCAAGGAGAAAATTAGTGAACTGGAAGATATTTCAGAGGAAGAAATTTAGAATAAAGAGCAGAAGAAAAAAGGATGAAAAATAAAGAAGAAAGGGTAAAAGGCAAAGAAGATGCATGTGATTGGAATTCCAAAAGGAGAAGAGAAGGAAGATGGAGTAAAAGCAACATGAGACTTATCCACAACTGAAGAAAAACATTCAGGCACAGATTTAAGAAGCCCTACGGAGCACAAGTAGGACAAATAAAAAGAAATTCAGGGCCGGCCGAGTGGCTCAGGTGGTTAAGAGTTGGCTTAAGAGCACAAGCTCTGAGCAACAGGGCCGCTGGTTCGATCCCCACATGGGCCAGTGACGCTGCCCTGACCTGAGCTGAGCTGCTGCTGAGCTACCAACAAGTGGCAGGATGGCTCAGCTGGTGAGAGTAACATGCTCCTAACAACAAGAATGCCTGTTCAATGGTGGGCTACGCTCGCCCACAACTAAGACTGAACTTGGCACCTTGAGCTGAGCTGCCACCCAGATGGTTCAGTGGATAGAGCGTGCGCTCTTAACAACAAGGCTGCTGGTTTGACTCCCACATGGGATGGTGGCTACGCTCACCACAACTAAGACTGAACACAGCACCTTGAGCTTAGAAGCCACAAGCTGCCGATGGGCAGCCAGATGGCGACTGGCGCCCTCCACAACTAAGATTGAAGAACAACAACTTGGCTGGTCCCCTTACCCAATTCCCCAACTCTGTCCCCCTCCCCCAATTCCCCAATATTTTTTTTAAAATGCATTAAAAGAAAGAATGAAACAAATATATATATATATATATATATATATATGAATAAATTTTAAAAAACACAACTTGACACATCATGTTCAAACTAATCAGAGTCAAATATGAAGAAAAAAATATTAAAGGTAATAAAAAGGAATAAAAAGAGTACTTCCAAAAAAGCAACAATAAACGGACAATGAAGGGCCAAAAAGATTAAATGATAACTTCAAAGTGCTGAAAAAAAATTACTGCCAACCTATAATTTTATACTCTACCCAATGAAAATATCTTCCAAGAATAAAGATAAAATAAAGACATTTTCAGACAGAAAAAAAGTGAGAAAATTCATTATGTCAGACCTGCTCTAAAAGAAGCACTGAAGGGTGCTCATCAGGTGGGAGGAAAATAATTGCGGTGGAAGGCTGGAGATGAAAATGGAAAGAGTAAATGGGGGGAGGTAAGTTGAAGTTTTGTGATTACATAAAGCAGTAAATACTAAACACTAAAAAATGGTGTATAAGTCAGGAAGTATTTTAAGTATGTTAATACATAGTAAGAAAAACAAACATATATTAGAAGAGATTGACAATGTATTACCTCTGAAACTTGAATTGATACATATGACCTCAAGTCAAGCATCAACTATGTCTTCTTCCTGATTTTAGACCTTTGGGGAGAGTGTTTCCATACTGATGCTTTCAGTCAAAGCTGTATCACAAAAATCTCTGCTGATTCCAAGCTGACAACAGACAAGAATGTTCTTTCCCATTTTTAATTAGTTCTCCTAACCCAGTGTCTTCTTTGTGTGTTTCAGGACAACCGTATGTATCAAGGGGAGTGGTGAACAGCAAATCATGAGAGCTGTCGATGTGAGAATTGAGAGCAACCCAGCTCCTGGTGGTACATACAATGCCCTTTGTATTAAGGATGAAGGTCAGTGCCAGAGCTCTTGTAAAGGTTCTGGAGGGTGTGTGCATGGGGGTTGCCATCTTAGGTTGCATTCTCTAGAAGCAGACCTTGAGATGAGGATACACTAAACGTGGTGTATTAGGAAGTCCTTCCAAAGAAAAGCCAATAGGACAATGGGGAAGTGGACAGAGAAAGGAAACAGACCAAGCAACGGTGAAATAGTAAGCAAAGTCCACAGCGATGATGAGGTGGGGGATAATTTTGACTCCATCTGCAGGAGATCTCTGGAGACAATGTACGTCACCACAGTTTTCCAGATCAGGGGTGAGAAAAGTCAGTTAGCTGCTCGTTAGGTGGCCTTGCTTCTGACTGTTGGCTGGCTATTGGCTGGGGTGATGGGGGTGACTGAGCCTTGTGTTTCCTATCATCCAACAGGATAGCTTGGGCTTTCCACCTCACTGACCTTCAAACAGGTTGTGTGTATGCAGGTGTGTGCCCCTTTTGCCCACAATTGTGCTGCATGAAGCCAGAGGTTGGAAACATCCTTTCACATCCTGTAGGGCACCAAGGTCAAAGCCAGGATAGTGACTCCAAAACTGAGTTATTGCCAAACTGATATGCACCTGTTGATATTGTACACTCAGAGGAATACAACTTCAACTCAATAGTATTCCTGCCCAAAATGCATAACTTGAACCTAATTATGAGACAATATTAGCCAAACTCAAATTGAGAAAGATCCTACAAAATGACTAGCCTATCTGTACTCTAAAAAAATGTCATGGATAAGAAAGACAAAGTCTAAGCAACTGTTCTAGATTAAAATAGACTAAAAGGACTTGACAATGAAATCCAATTTGTGATCCTGGATTATATCCTGGCCCAAGAGAAAATAGCTATAATTGATGAAATCTGAATCTGAAGTATGAATTTGATAATAGTATTGTATCGATACTTAATTTTTCCTGATTTTGGTAACTGCAGTAAAGTTATATAGGAGAATATCCTTGTTCTTGAAAATGCATACCAATGTTTTTAGGGGCAAAAGGACATCATATCTACAACTTATTCTCAAATGGTTCAGAAAAGAATTACAGTATAAATACACATGTGTACATATTTGTATGGTACATATTTGTCTCTATGTCTGTCTATCTAGAAGAATGATAAAGCAAATGTGGCAAAATGAAACACATTGGTTTCAAATCTAGCTAAAAGATTTTATGGGAGTTCCTTATTCTTACAAACTTTCTGTAACTTTGAAATCATATAAAAATAAAAAATGTCAATAAAATAAAATAAAATACTCCTCCAAAAATGACAACAGCAAAAAGAACCCCCATAAAACAAAAACAAACAAACAAACAAAAAAACCCAAACTTGAGTCACAGGGAGCCAACATGTGAGGCAAATTCACGACACCTGTCAATGTACGAGTATGTGAAGACTGACCCCATTTTAGCAGAGCGAGCACTGTGTGTGGTTCATTACAGTCCAGGTGCTCAAGAGCCCTGAGTCCCAGAGCAATTTGTCTGAGCCTCTCCTGGCCTCCCATCACCTCCAAGTCAGTGGGGAGGGGCTGTGTGCAAAAGACTGGAGCCTTGGTCCTACAGGGCCTGATTTGTGAGGAGGCCTCAGGTGGGCTGTGAAGGGGACTCAGGAGTGCATGTGGAGGGCTGACCTCTCTTGGGCTTTTTTTTTTTTTAATTGGGGAATTGGGGGAAGGGGAACAGATATGTTGCTGTCCTTTTGTTCTTCAGTCTAGTTGTGGAGGACGTCGCTTCACTGGCCCATGTTGGTATTATCATTGTGCTCTTCCCGGGTGAGGCAGATTGCTTGCCGGCCACTGGACGGCCGCTCATGGCTACTCACGGCAGCTCATGCCGGCTGCCAGGCACTCACGGTAGCTCATGGCAGCCCACTGCAGCTCCACTGCAGCCTACGACGGTGCTGGTGACTCACGGCAGCCCAGCTCCAGGTCAAGCTGCTGCTCACCATCTTAGCTGTAGGGGGCGCAGCATCACTGGCCCTTGTGTGGGATCCAAACCGGGGCCCTGCTGCTCAGAGCTGGCGTCCCAAGCCAGCTCCTAACCAACGCACCACTCGGCTGGCCCTCTCTTGGGCTTTCTAAAAAAGCAGGATGGATCCCTGGAGTCACTCAGAGAGAGCTCTGTGCCTGTTCTGCCTTTTGCCCTTTAGAAAGAGGATGTAAACTGCTCACTCATGGTCTCCTGCCATGCTCAGTGGAGCTGCTGCTTTTCTTCAGTGGAGCCTTAGTTGACAGCACAGTCAACAGGGAAATTTGTGTGCTGAAGGAACATGTAGTGTCTTAGTGGAAGCTAAGGACAGGTGGTTCCTTGGGGTTCCTATGGCAGGAATGTGGATAAGGTCTGGTTCAGCATACGCCCCAGGCAGTATCATCTCCAAAGGTTGCCTTTTTCCGCATAATGCCTTGTGCTGCTTAGCTCCATGCTGTTGCTTTTCTTTGGCAAGACAGAAACAATAAAGTGTGCTCACTCCAAAAATGGCAGACATGTGCCTTATAAAGAGCCCAGAAGGAAAACAGACCCTGTGGGACATTCAGACAGCTTCCTCCTGTGTTTTCTTTTTCTGAAATAAAGTTCATTATGAAAGTAGACTTTTCTCATTTTCCGTCCAGTATTTTTGTTTCACAGAGAGTGAATTTCCAGTCCTGTGGTGATCTCACTTAAACTAATAAGTGAAGCTATTTTTAACCAACTGGATGCTGATGAAATAAGCTGCCTCTACTTGGGTTCTCTGGCTTTGCTTCTCTTGGCAGCCTGTTGGGGGTGGACGGCGTGGGGTCTAGAGTGTACCCACAAGGCTCCACTCTGGGGGTGCTCCTGTTTCCTCCCCGCTAAGCCAGAGCGGGCCGGCTGCTGTCCCCACCAGCCCACCTTACCTCCTTAACACCATTCCCCTCCCCTGCATACTTCACTATTGCGCATACTTCCCTTAAAAACAGAAATGGAACTGTTCCCTTCCTTTATGTCATCAAGAAGAGAGCTGGAAGCTCATCTTGAGAGCGATCAGGAATTTTCAAGAGTAGCCAATTCTCAGGTCTTACTGGAGGAGGCCCTGGGCCTCAGGATTGGCTTTGGGGAAATTCTCCCGCTGCGATCAGGAGACTGGAACCAATCGCAATGTTTTGAGCACCTGATAGAACTTATTTGGTTCAGAGTGTCCCAAGGGAGTGTGGAAGAGTCTGAGCTAATTACCACTGACCTGGCATTGGCCATTTGTTTATTTGTCCTGGGTAATGCGAAGTCCAGTGCTCAGACTTGTGGGTGCTTTAGATAGATGGATAGATAGATAAATCTTATTCCTACTGTCAAGAAGTTGGCAGTGTAGAAGGATAAGTAAAAGATGAATGCATTTCCATGACACAAAAGAGGCGGGTAGTTAGACTTCCAGTGAGGCAGAATTTGAGGATTTTGTTTCTGGAAACAGCAGCTAGGAAAAGGAGAAGATATTGCCGACAGAGAGAACAAGGGCTAGAAATCGAAGGTCCCAGTGAGTGGTTGAGGACCGGCCCTGGGTAAGCCATGGTACTAGGGCTTCAGGAGCGTGAGCTGGGTTTAGAACATCCCTAGGGGCTTGAGTACCTGTGCTGGGTGGGTCTGAAGTGGCTGCAGAGGGCAGCCCAGATAATCCTCATCACAGTTAGCCATGATGCCTCCTCCTCTGCCACCCACACATCCAGGCCCAGAGAGCATCAGGTCTTGCTTCCCCAGGACTGAGGTCTTCCATTCCAAAAACCTGGGCTAAATCAGTCCTGATGCACAAACAGTTCCCAGGAATACCAAGTGTCTGAGCAGCCAGAGAAATGCTGCCAATGGGTCCATGTACCGATGGTTCTTATAAATATTTCATTTTGCCCTTCGTCCCCCCACTTCCTGTTCAGCCATCGTGTGCTTGGCTATATTTGGTTTGAAAGAATTGGGCATTCAATTGCCATCATTACTTGAAGAATGATTCAAAAGACCATCAGTCTCCAACTTACTTGGGAAATGGAACTCATGTTTATTTATGCCCCTAATTAAGTTCCAGGCATGCGGTGGGCACTGGGCAAGGCGCAAGCTCATTTAATTCGGGTAACAACCTTATAAGCTAGGTGTCATTTTACATTTAGCTCCATTTTACATATTTAATATATTTTCTAATTGTAAACATGAACATGTGGCCATTGTAGTAGAAAGCATGAAGAAAATTAAAATAGCTCATAATCAATCAAGATATAGAACATTTCTGTGTCCCCAGAAAGCTCCCTGGAGCCCTTTTCCAAAAATGCTCTGACTCTCCCCCTTCCAGCCGAGCCAGAGGAAGTCTCTGCTGATTGCCATGACCAAGTATATTAATTTTGCCTGTTTTTGAGTGCAGTAGTTATCTAGAGCCGTAGTTCTCCAAAGACAGTTCCTGGACCAGCACTGTTAACATCACCAGAGAACTTGTTATAAATGCAAATTCTTGGAGCCCAATCTTGACCTACTGAGTCAGAAACTCAAAAACACAGGTGTGTGTGTGTGTATGTGTGTGTGTGTGTGTGTGTGTGTGTGTGTGTGTGTCTTACAAGCCCTCCAGCTGATGCACATTCAAGTTTGAGAAACAGTGATGGAGAGTTTGAGAATTAATGATAAAATTGGATGGAATGCGGAGGACAATGCTTGTTCTGCGCTGGGTGGAGTAGGGTGGGCACAAAAGACGACTTCTTCACATAGCTTAGGGAAGCCAAAAATGAGGAAAGGTCAAGCACGTGTGTCAGAATTTCTGCATCCCTGGTTTGTGAAACAATAACGGGGTTTTGCAGGCTCTTCTGTAGGGTTTCCAAAGTCATGATGGAAGTCTTAAAATTTCTCAGGATAAAAGCATCAGCCTTCTTATGAATTCTAAACTGTGGAAACTGGTTGTCAGAAGCTCTGAGTGGCAAGCAAATGCATTCCTTTAAATTGAAAATATGAATCATTGTTCATGAGTACTATTTGTTTGCTAGGCAAGATCGCTTATAAAATCTCTTTTCTTGGAAGGGAAAAAATATTAGAAATTGTTCTTTATGTTGAAACTGTTGAAACTCAGCTCTACGGTCTGAGAAATCCACAGACCACAATCCTGACCTGTGGAATAATTTGAGAAGTAGCAGTAAAGATTGCTCAAATGTAAGTTTCCCTAAAGAGGAGAACAGGGTCCAGGTATACAGCCTGCTGTTTTCCATAGCTTCCTCGTGAGGTTCAGGATGGGAAGGACAGTGAAAGGAACTAATTCAAGGTACATCTGGACATGGGTGGTGTTTTTGACATGTCCTTGGTTGTGCTAACACATGGAATTGTTGTCCTGGAGCTTGTGAAGTCACACCACCTAAGAAACTGTGTGTTTCCTGTCTTGAACATTTGTGGGAAATCCAGAAACATATGATATGTGTGCCCAGAGCCTCAGGAGCATTATTGTGCTTTTCCTGAGCCAGAATCTAGCCCACGCCATTCTGGAAATTATATCTGAGGGAGAAGATCCCATGAGTCTGGTAGGATGTGAATTTGGCCTGAAGTTCCCTTTACTCTGAAAACAGTTACCCTGAGGGCCGGCCGAGTGGCTCAGTTGGTTAAGAGCTCGCTCAAGAGTGCGAGCTCTGAGCAAGAGGGTTGCTGGTTCGATCCCCGGCCCGAGCTGAGCTGCCGCTGAGCTGCCAACAGGTGGCAGGATGGCTCAGCTAAAACAAACAAACAAAAATCCAGTTACTCTGCTCCTGGATTTTCCTTCCAAAGAGTTGCTGTTGTGTTCCACAGATAGAGCTGTGTGAGGCTTCAAGTGTTTACCAGTCCTGTGATGGCATTGGATGAAGAGCTTCTGATGCCCCAAACTAGATCCTGGTAAAGGGAGAAAAAGCTGGCACATCCAGCATGAGTTGCAGGCAGCTGAGGATGGTGGAGAGAGAGAGCCTTTTGCCCCTGAGATACCTCTGGAATTCAGCCCAATCTTGACTGAGGCTGATGGCTTTGGTCCAGGTTTCAGGATGCCCTGCTCAGACGAAGTGAACCCAAGGATGTCGCCTCTCTGCTCAGTGGGGTTGCCCCTGGACATGTGGCCACTTCCAAACAGCTGCTTATCCCTACTTAGGTGAAGTAAACAGTTGATCTCCTAGGCTATAGTCAAGGCAGTTTGGGCTAAAATGCAACATTCTGTGCTGACTTCCTCAAGTACAGCCACACCCTTTTTCATTCAAAATCTCTTGTTAGAGAACTTGCATCTCAATGATTCTTTGAGAAAGTGCTACCAAGACTACAAGCTGTGAGGCCAATCAGGATGGCTTAAAGCACAAGTTGTATTTTCTGTTTTCATCTTTTCTTAGCATATCTTCTTGTAAGCAATGTGCTTGTTAGATAAGTTGTCTGCATAAGGACTAAAGGCTTTCCTTTCCATAAAAAATTAGAAGAGGAAATTTGAATTTAAAATTATTTCCTTTTTTTATTGAAAGGAATTTGATGCAGCAATCCCACTTCTAGAAATGTACCCCAACGAAATAAGATATGTACAAAAATATACATATGAACTGTTCATTGTAGCACTGTTTATAATAGTAAAAGCTTGGAGTCAGTATAAATGTTGGTATAATGATTAAATAATGTGTGCTATAATATAGCCTTTCAAAAGACTGAGGTAATTTATAGTTTTAATGTGGAAAGAGCTCTAAAACATTAGCAGGAAAAAAGACTTCTAGTTTCTGGTCCAGCATGTAAGGAAAGAAATTGAATCAATAATTAATAACCTTTCAAAACAGAAAGCACCAGGCCCAAATGAGTTCACTGGTAAATTCTACCAAATATTTAAGGAAGAAATTATACTAATTCTCTACAATCTCTTCCAGAAGTAAGACGAGGAAATACTTCCTAACTCATTCTACGAGGCCAGATTACTCTAATACCAAAATGAGAGAAAGACATTACAAGAAAAGAAAACCACAGACCAATATCTAATGAACATAGACACAAAAATTCTCAACAAAATATTAGCAATTTGAATTCAGCAGTGTACGAGTATAAAAAGAATTATAAACCATGACCAAGTGAGATTTATTCTAGGTCTACAAGGCTGGTTCAACATTCAAACATCAATTAATGTAAGCCATGACATCAACAGTCTAAAGAAAAAAAACATGGGATCATATCAATAGATGCAGAAAAAACATTTTCAAAACCAACACCCATTCATGATAAAAACTCTCAGCAGCCAACTAGGAATAGAAGTGAGCTGCTTCAGCTTGATAAAGAACATCAAAAAGCCTCCAGTTAGCATCATACTTAGTGGTGGGAAATTTGAAGCTTACCCACTAAGATTTTTAAAAAATATTTTCAATGGAATTGATTCTATCTGTAGCTACCTGAGAAGACACAGTGGAGGAGGGGCTTCAGACCACAGAAAGAATGCCCACTACCCACCTTGGGGCTGGAAGTCTGACCTGGTTGGCCCAGGCCCCCAGCTCTGTAACCATTAACCTCTTCTCTCAACTAACATGAATGAAAGTGTCATTCCACATGATGGGGCTGTTTTGGATCTGTCTCATGGACCTCTCACCTGACCCTGACCCAGGGGGCTCCTGCCCATGTGGTAGGAGGAAGACTTGGGCTCTCCCCTCTTCACCTTCTGTGCTTCCTCACTGGCCCTGGGTGGGCCCCTTAGTGGCTGCTTCATGGACCAGCCACAGGTTTTTAGTAAGCAATTTACAAGTTTTAATACAAACCAGTCTATCTTCATTTCTAAGAGGCTCGTTGCCAGTAAAAAATATACCCCAGTGTTGACGAAAGAATGTCCAGCCTGTAGAAAAGTTTTATAAGAGTTGATTTGAGGCAAGCTTTTGAGGACATGCCTGGAAGCAAAATCTCAATGGATTGAGAAAATGCTCCAGAGAATGGCAGTTTTGACAGTTGTTTTACACATTAGAATCAAAGGATAAGACTTAGAGAGGGTTACATGAAACCCACTGGTGATAGATTAAGGGGTGGGAGAAAGCAAAGAGGGGACATCTCTAGGATTGAATGAAAAATCAAACGGAGAGACACACACTGCTTTTACACTGGTGGGCCCAGGATAGATAATGAACATTTACAGCACGTAGAGATGGTGTGTGGGGAACAAGGTAACAATGTGGGGTCTGTGGTCTTGTGCTCTGGTGCCTGCAGTTGTGCCTTGGAGGGCTCTAGAAAAGAAAATTACTCTGCCATGTCAAAGGTATGTTATCCTAGATGCATAAGAACAGTGGACAGTGCTCGCTTAAGGCAAAGATTGACCTTTGTAAGGAAACTATAGGCATGGGACGTGACTACCCGCCATGACCTGCCCAGTTAGGAATTTATGATCAGACCATCCCGTGTGGTTACTTGTGATCACTGAGTTTGTCAGGCCTGCCATGTGGGCCACCCTCCAAGCTTGTCAAGTTTAGTATAGTAGATGGCCCCTTTTCTGTTCATACTAGTAAAAACCTTCTCATAAGAGAACTAGGGGAGCCAGTGGAAAAGAGACCGGGGCGGTATCCCTCAAGACTGACTCCAGGGCCAGCTTGAGGGCAGGCACAGGAATAGATTCCAGGGTGAGGTGGGGGCTCTTCATCTTCAGATCCAAGTGTGAGGCTCCCCTGCTGAGTGAACCCAAATGTAAACTGCAGATTTTTTTTTGAATGATAATAACGTGTCAATGTAGGTTCATCAGTTGTAACAAATGTACCACTCTAGTGTGGACTGTTGACCCTAGGGGAGGCTGTGCATGTGTGGGATTAGGGGTGTAGGAACTAGCTGTATTTTCTGCTCAATTTTGCTGTGAGCTTAAAACTACTCTAAAAATTGTTTTTGTTTTTTTAAGAGCAGGTACTCAATAATGTGTATGATATAACCCCGTTTATGTTAAAAACCACACACACACACACACACACACACACACATACACACACACATACACACATACACACACACTATCCACCTATGTGTGTATTAGTGTTTATGTATGTCTACATCTGTATTTATCTATATATATCAAACTGGCAACAGTGTTACTGTCAGGGTTGAGGTTGGAGGAGTGGAGGGGCCCCCTCTGCTGTATTTATAGTCTGTAATATTTTAGCTTTGACAACAAATACAGATTCACTTAAGTAAAATCAGGCAAAAAAAGGGAACTTGCTGCTGGGTATAGGTAGGTCTCTGGGTCTTCCTTTCAAGGAGACATAAAGGGTAACATTGCCTGGCAATTTTAAAACACAAAGTTTCCTTTTAAAAGCACATTTATTCATTCAACAAATATCTTTTGAGCGCCTCCTTTGTGACAGGCATCCTGCCAGGCCCTGGGGATGCCAGGGTGAAGGAGAAACAGCCCCTGTGGTCCCAGGTCAGGGTGCAGGTGGCACCCACAGAGGGGGAGAGTTGCTTCTTCAGTTTGTTTTTCCCCAGGCTGCAAAAGTTCTGCCTACTTTGGGAAAGCTAATTGTGATTCCTTGTCCTCAGAGAAGCCATGTGGAGACCCGCCTTCTTTCCCACACACCATCCTGCAGGGACGCACCGGCTTGGAGATGGGGGATGAGCTGCTGTACGTGTGTGCCCCGGGCCACGTCACAGGCCACCGTGAAAGTGCCTTCACCTTGCTGTGTAACAGCTGCGGTGAGTGGTACGGCCTGGTGCAGGCCTGCGGGAAAGGTAAGCCACCCCTGGGCTGGGCCACCTCCACCTGCCCTCGCACTGTGAGCAGAGCGGCTCCACATCTGCAGTCGGCTCCTGGTAGGCTCACCGCCACAAAGGTCCCTTTGAAAAAAGGCTTTCAGACCTCTCCCCTGAGTGCTGGACCTGGCAACATGTCCACCTGCATGTTCCTGCAGCATTTCAGGTGCAGCGTATCCACAGCTGAGCTCTTCATCTTCTGTGCAGGAGGTAAAGGGTGTAAACAAACAAAGGGTGTCCTCTCTTCTTCGATAAGGACAGCATTGACCTTGGGTTAACGTTCTGGCTTATTTCCCTAGAAATACGATTAACATTCAATGCCAGCTGTAATACCAGGCAACAATGCTTATGGTAAAATGACCCCTGCTTGGTAAACTGGGCTAGGAAGATTATCATGAACCCAGGAGAGGAACCCCAGTTTTGGGGCTTCCCTGAGTGTGTTGTTTCTTGTGACTGGGCATGATCCTTGTATGGACCCTGAGAGAGAGGCTCTGGGTTGTGACAAGAACTAGTGGCTCTTGTGGGGCACGGGGCTTGTAAACTAGGGTGGGTCTACAACCATGCGTGCGAGTCCCATTCCCTTGCACCTGAACAATCACAGGGTGTCAGTGGTGGATGGCGAAGCAGGGAAACTCCAGGACAGTGTGTAGACACCTGCGCAGACTGTCCCCACTCTCCTGCTGCCTTGCTCTACCCGCTGGCCTGTATCTGGCAGTAGACATGTGAGTCTCAATATTCGGTTGAGACTAAAAAGACTCCTGGTGAGCACTGAACCCCCCCAAACCTAATTAGCTTCCCCCAGATGTCCCCACTCCATCATCGTTGTATACCTGGGGGTCCCAGGTTTTTGCAGCCATACCTACATACAACCGACCCACCCACCCCACCCCCGCCGGGAATTTTCCCAGGAGCAAAAATCACCTTCTACAGCCATAGCCTGGCCTGGCCTCCCCACTCCTGACCTGGGCTTATGACCCCTGTACTATGGACCTCATACCAGACCCTGAATTGCTCCCTGCCCTCACAGGGCTCCTCTTACCCCAAGACCCCTTCAGAGACCACCTTCCTGGCTGCCCCCAAGACATCTGAGTACCAAGCAGTGACTGGCTTTATAGAAGGGAATGGACTCCAGCACCACGATGTTACTGAATGCATGAGTTTGTCCCTAGAAGGTCCTGCAGATCCCATAAGGGAACCATGATGAGACGAGGGCACTGTCTTGTCTGCGAGGACACGTTGTTGCCTGAGCTGTAGTTTGTTGTTGTCACTGCTATCCACAATCCATAGTGTGACTACACCACCAGTTATTTCTCCAGGCTGCTGGTGGACAGCTGGCTTGTTTTTAAGTTGTGGTTGTCACGCACGACACTGCCGTGCTTGCTCAGCCACCTCATTTGGTTCACATGTGAACACGTTTCTGTTGGTTTGCGGGAGTAGAATGGCTGCCCATGGAGTAGGCGTGTCTTCAGCTTTAGTGGATGCTGCCAAGGGTTTTCTGAAGTATTTTAAGCAGTTTCCTCTCCCACCAGCTGTGTATGGGAGTTTTTGCTGTTCAGCCTCCTCACCAACCTTCAGGACTGTGAGATTGTACCTTTGTGACCATCTGGTGACTCCTCTGTGGTAACTTATAACATGCATTTTTCTGGTTGAGCCCCCTTAACACATGCTAATCAGGCATCAGGGTTTCCTCCAAGTTTTTTTGCCCATGTTCCGAATTGATTTGATTGAATTGACTATTTACATAATGTAGAATTTCTTTTTTACATAAGACTTTCTTAATGTGTTATAAATATTCTCTCCCATTCTGTGGCTGTTTCCTCTTGGAGTGTCTTTAAATGAATCATCTTTAAATTTTTATTATTGTCTAGTTTACTACCTCTCAAATTTTCTGTGAACCATGAAAAAAATTTTTTCCAGTCATTGGCCAACTGATACTTGAGTAAACTGCCATCAAAATGAATGAATATAAGAGGAAAATAAAGACATTCCAAATATAAGCATACTTTTTTTTTTTTGGTTAAATTAAGTAAACATAAAATTTGCTGGTCAGATTGTTACAAAGCTTCTAAAATATGTTCTCTCAACATCTCTACTTGCCTTGTTGTATACTATTAACGAAAGGTTATAGACTGGGCCATGTGTTAGAAGCACAATTTGAGCAATCTCCTGGCGCGTTCCTTCTCTTTTCCCTGTTGCTTTGTGGCAGGTAGGAGCTCCTTGCCAGTTCTGATCATTCTCCTGTCTGAAGAAATCAGTCATCAGGCTGGGAGCATTCCTGTTTGTTGAATGTGTCACCTCAGAGCAGACCCATATTCACCCTGAGATCGTTAACAGAGCTAGCCCGGGTTCCTGGTGGGGCCCTGAAGCCCCACCATCCCATGAACCACACCCACCAGCCAAATGGGTTGTTTACTGGCCCCAGTAGAGTGAGAACTAAATGCGGGTTTTGTGTGTCTGAAATGGTGTTTATTTTCTCACTGCAAAGCAGAGTTATTAGAGCTTTCAGCTGCTGGGCAGGAATTTTGGTTTCTATGCTTGGCTGAGTACACTGAGTATATTACAGCTTTCATTACTCTGTAGCTTTAACATTTAAAGTCTCTGTGCCATTATATGAAGTGTGTGTGTGTGTGTGTGTGTGTGTGTATGTGTGCATGTGTGTGTGTGTGTATTACAAGAATATCATCACGAGGTATTTCACTCCATTTTGCATTTATTTTTCCAGTGAACATTTTTTGATTAGGAAACTGTTTCAAATGGAAGGAAAGTCATCTTGGGGGACTGGGTCAAACATCTGGATTTGGATAACGACATGCCTTGTACTGGCTGGTGTGCCATTCATTCATTCACTCATTCCACATCCTTTCATTTGGCAGGGTCCTAGGTACTGTGTATACAAAGTCGAGCAAAACTGCCCCAACCATAAAGGAAACTCTAGTAAACCGGATGCCTCAAAGGAGACAGAAAAGCAGGCGATGATGAGGTAGAAGGGAAAGCGGGGAAACTGAGGTGTCGCAGAAGGTGACATTTTAAAGGAAGCATGTGTTTCCAGATGGAAGAAATGCTCAAAGGCCGCAGAGATCAAGTAAATGAAAGCTGAAACGTGTGCTTTGGCTTCACAGTACAAGAAGATTCTGGCCGCCTTGTATTTTGTGTGTGTGGCGGGGGAGTGGGGTGAATGGAGCCACACAGCAGCGAGTACGGGAACAAGTTAGAGTGCGGAAGAGGGCCAGACGCAGACAACTCATTCTCAAATTAATGCTGTTCATGAAGAGACCTAGGATAGAGCTGGAAGAGGATCAGAGGGACCAAAAGGGTGTGTGTGTGTGTGGGGGGGGGGTTGTTTTGTTTTGTTGGCTTGCCTGCTTTTGAAGATGAGAGACAAGCTTATTTAAATGACAATGGAAAGCCTTAGAAGAGAAGGGGAAACTGAAGCATTCTCTTGACTTTCCTGATGAGCCTTAGTTTGCTCCTGTGAAAAAATGGATACTATTTATCACGTGGAGTTCCTGTAGTCCATCATTTAGAACAGGACCTGCGACATGGTCTAAGCTCAGTGGGTATTTGTCCTCTCCCTTTCAGTTTCTTGCTGGTCAAGGAGGGTATTTAGGCCTCTCACTTAAGAGATCTAAAGGGATTTGTACATAACACTGGCTCTTCCCTTCCTTGCATTATTGACTCTAGCTCCTAGTACAACAAATAATCAAAGGCTCTCTGCGACTTCCACTGTCTGTTACTTGGGTGAGAAGTTGTCTTTGCCAGTCGGCATCTAGGATTCGGGAGACCAGAAGCTGGTCCTTCCGGAAAGACATGGCCCCTGTGGCATTAGGATTTGGTGGGGGCCTCATGGACAAGCAGCTGGTAACTTTCTAATGTGTGCCTCGGAGGCATTCTATACTTGTGGCCCCAGCTGCCTCACTTCTCCAGGGAGCCCTTGTCTACTCTGTACTGACCACTGACCCTCCTGCACATCGTGTGGCTGTCAAGGACTTCCCTCCACCCCCACCCCACAATGTTTCCTTATATTTTCTTGTGAGCTGCTGGAGCCCAGTCCAAGCCCTCTGACTTGCCCATATACAATGCCCCAGCAGCGCCTCTGTTGAGAGGACAATAGGGTCCCTGCCCCTTATTCCCTTCAAGACCTCTTCAGGTCCAGAGAGCCTCAAGGCTCTAGTACCTTGAAGGTCAAGACTTAAAATAACGTGGTGCTCAGATAAATTTGGTCTCAGAGATTCTAGGGCCTCGGGGCTATTATGAAGACTATTTCGTTCAAATTTGTCATTGTTGGGGCATTTGCATACTGGCTGGATACTTGGGTCGGATTCTCCAAAAGCAGTCTATTCGCATGTACATGGTTTGTTGGGAGAGAAAGAGGGTTAGGAAAGCAGGATAGGTGAAGGGAAGGAGTTAAGGATGTGGCCTCAGCTGGATTCTCATGGGGAGCGGTGGAGCATGAATTGCACCAGAGAGGGTTGGTCCTGTTGGAGAGCAAGGGGACCAGCCTCAAGTTCCTCCATATCAGTCTGCCATGGGTTGCAGGCCTCTGGGCGTGGTGGGCACGTGGCATGTAAACTTCCATGTGAGGCTCTCATTCCACCCAGGGCAATTCTCTAGAGAAGGGGGGCAGCTGGGGACCATTAGCCACCAACACTCATGGCAGCTGGGAGATGGGGGCTCTGGCCTGGGAAAGGGGACCTAGGTGGGGCACCTACAGCTTCTACAATGGAGAACTGAGTTGCTCCATCAATTCAGTGGAGCACTGGTTAAAAAAAAAAAATCCATGGGTACGGTGGGGACTGCCTGGCTGGGTTTGCTGAAGTTTAAATTTTGTAATGATGAGCAGGAATGAACCCCTAGGGGCACGCACACCTGGCTGGGTGGGTGAGTGGAATGTGCAGGAAGGCGCCTCAGCCACACACAGCCCAGGCTGTATGCCCACCACAGCATTAAGGTCCGGCCTCAAGTGCTGGTGGTCAGTCTCT